TTTTTTTCGGGCTATTTAAAAAAATAAAGTTGATGATGGTTTTTTGAAAACGAAACGTCGGATATAAAAACTAAAAATACCATCGTGTAGTACCTTGAAAGTGCCAATGAAAAAGTGTTATTCGTTTTTTGATATCTTTTCAAATAAAGTCAGAAAAAAATAAAATTGATATTGTCAAATTCTCGTTTTTCCCAAATATCTCAGCAGGCCATGAAAATAAACGGCATGTAAATAAGCTTTAAAGAACACAACTTTTTCCTAATTTAACCTAAGCTGTATCTCCAACAGGTACTGAGATTCCCATGCTTAGGATCCTTATCTTGGATACACTGTATAGTAGGCTTTCCAAATAGCTGGATCTGAATGTTTTAATAATGTATTTTTTTTCAGATTTGAATACAAAACAGGTTCCATCAGCCTGGATTCGCCCAAGGAGGAACTCATCACCCAGAAATAAATTATTCAAATATTTTTCTTTAGTTGCTACGATTGCCATATCAGTTTGGAATTGTTATATTTTTGAACTGTTACCTCTAAATGATAGGATCATTAACCTAGTCATTAGAACGATAAGAAGCTTCATGAAGAATTATTCATAGTTGAACTGTACAGTTATTTCAGGTGAATATATTCACAGAAAACTTTTGAGGAGTTGTTCATTACTTTTTATAGTATTTATTCGAACTACAAAAATGATTCGATGAAAATTTTGGATTTTCTCAACTTTCAGTCAACATTTCCTGAACTATAACAGTTAAGTCGAAAATGTAATGTTATGGGAAAGAAACCTTTTGAAATTCTACTTCCTCATCTTCATATAAAGAATCTTTCAAAACGTTTCTTTCCCAAAAATCAATTTCCCCTTAAAATATACCCCTTTCAATGTATTGTTATGTTTCTATTCTCAGCAGGAATAAAAAAGGTTTTGAGTTCTTCCATATTTTCAGTTTTCAGTTCCAGCTTTGAATCAATTTAGGTTGGTATACCTGTATGGGTGGTACGCCTGAATGGTGAATCTTTATGGTGACCTATATAGCATAAATAAGGTTAGCTCGCGTTAGTTTCTAGTTTTAATCTTCCACTTTGGAGATGATCACTTAGTGATCGAAACACGTGTCGAGGTGTTGTAAATAACGATTTGGTGTTGGGAAAAAACTTCAGTAATATTCATTACTACACTAAAGGTTCCAAACAGTGCATCATAAGTAAATTCAAACCAGTCCATTTCGTCTTTGACCACCAATGCGTAATAATGACCAGATTCAATGTCAGAACCACAGTGATCAATGACTGCATGAAGATTATAATAGAGGTGTGCTAGGTTGAAGTGTTCATCTATTTCGAACCTTCTTAAAAGTTTGGTGCTTACGTCAGAGGTTTAGTCATGTTTCATCAATAAATTGACTGGTACTTCAGCTATACTTGTCTTATAATAGTCAGTTAGTTTCAGGAAGGTACTACAAAGTAAACTAGTGAGGATTTTTCAAGCAAACAAACACAAGACGAGATAAACTGTATCTCATCATTCAATCCAGATTGGTCAGGAGTATTGATTCTGCAATTTTCCTACCCACGAAGAGTTTTCAACAAGAACATCAAGAATTCGGAACAATCCTCTTGTCCTAACGAGTACTAGTGGACTTCAAAGACTAGGAAATCGGTTGGTGGAAAAGATGATACATTCTTATGAAACTGCAGCTGCATGAACAGATGTTTGAGTTTTTTTGAATAAGTAGGAAACATTCTCGTTTATCGTTAAAACCTCGTTCTTGAAATTCTTCGTCATGAACAACACCTATCATTTCTATTCATGTAGCAAGTGTTTCCTAAATTATCTTAACTAATTTTTTCGCAAGATTTTCATGACAGCTGTCTACTGATTCGTGAGGAAGAACATGTTTTACAGAATCTGCATCAGAACCATTTATCAAGCTGTAATCGATCCTTCCAACTGATAAAGGTTTCGTAGAGGGATTGATTCGGTTCTTGCTCCATGAAGCTCTTTCACTGAAAGGAAGAATAATTTGATACTCATTATATTCCGTAGAGTCCCGAGAATATTTCGTCATTTAAAAGAACGGTATTTGATATAGGATGAGGATAATAACTTTGGTCTGATTTTTACTGAGTTTTTTTATTTGGTATGACCGGTTTTAGTTTGTTAAACCATCTTCAAGTAAACTTGGAAATGGTCGTTACAGATAAAAAAATTGTGAGCCGCCTAAGAAATGTGAAACATTTATAATATTTTCTGACCCATGTGATAATTTTTGGGTACTGAAATATTTCCCAAAATATACACTTGGGTTACATCTATATTATTTCGCATTTTATCAGAATAAACGTCATCTAGTTTCAACCTTTGCTGTCTATTGCTTATATAATTCATGATCCAGTTTAGTGCTATTCCATCAGTACCCACGCTATCAATCTTTCTAATCAGTCTGCATCTATCTACAGTTTCAAACACCTTTTGAAGGCAATAGTATACTGATCCTTTTCCGCACTTTTCTTCCTATCTGTTAAAACACAGTGTAAGGCAGTTTCACAACTATGTTTGCTCTGAAAACCTTATTGATACTTATATAGGACCCTTTTAATCTCCAAATACGCCACTGTCTCTTCATATACAGCCTTTTCCAATTCTTCAGATGTGGCATTAATCATGTTTATTGGTCTCGATTGAATATATTGGTATAGTAGATAATTTTAATTATTCAGTTTCAGCACTGAAACACTTCTTCAGAAGTTCTATACAAATTTCATCGGGACTACTTTTATTTCTCAAAGAACCAACAATTATTTCTAGATCAACCATATTGATAAGACTCAAGTTGGAAAATTTATTATCAGTTATACAGGAAAACTATGAGAAAAATGGTTGTCAATTCCATCAGTTATATTTATTGAATGAAACTGGCTGATACCTGATAAAAATCCATATTAAAACTATAATTGATACCGTTTATTGAATGATTTTCACTATAAGGGTTTTTCAAAAACCGACACGTGTTTCGCTATACGCTTAGGAAGCAATAGCTTCCTCAGTTTACGCTTGAGGAAGCTATTGTATAACGAAACACGTGTCGCGGTTTTTGTAAACCCTTTATAGTGAAAATCATGTAATAAACTGTATCAATTAGTAGTGATATTATTTTTCTCCACCTTTTTTGGGTATTTGTTACCTTCCACAATCTGAAAAAATATAAAAGTTATAATGGAGAACTTTATACAAGTGTAGAAGGGCAAATTCTAATATATTGTCAGTTATTCCTTTTTGATTATTTATTTTTTTGTCCATTTCTAAAGACGGAGGCAGATTTTGGCCTCCGAAACTTTAAGATAAGTACTGTATTATTTCTTAACACTTTTTTTGACAGGCAAAATTGTTAAATACGACAGGTTACTGATAAATAGAAGATTTTTCTTTGTGAAAAATACTTCGACTTTTACGCAGTAACTTATAGGGGTAACCTAAAAAGTTGGCCCTTCTACACTTGTATAAAGTTCTCCATTATAATTTTTATATTTTGTCAGATTGTGGAAGGTAACAAATACCCAAAAAAGGTCGATAAAAACTGATTTTCCTCCATAAAAAATTGACTTTCGTTGAATAGTTATATTTATTATACTTTTGATATAAAATGTGTTCAGGCCATTTGGTACCAAAGCCATATCAGAAATTATTTCACCATTGCCCAAATCAATACTTGTAAGATTGTATTCCTTGTTATTATTCAGTATCAATGTCAATGTATTCCACATTTCAGTTGGATTGTTCTTATTTGATTCAATATTTGTCTCTAAATAATTCTTCTTCTCTTGTCTAATTATTTTCAATGCTAAATTTCTTGTTTGTTTATACTTCTCCCGATTATCCGTTGTTTTACTGACTGTATATATTTATATATACAGTGCAATCCATTTAAAACGAGCCATCCTGAATAACTTCTGGTACAATGATTTGCAGAAAAAATAAAAAACACACCAACAATAGTATACAGGGTGACACATTTTGACATATTCACATTTGATGTTACTTCCTCTATCGCAGTCCCAGAGCATGTCACCAATTTTTTTTAAATGGATCAATTGTTTTGCATTATCAGGTGTTCCATTATGAACAGATGTCAACACAGTAGAATACATTACATAGTTTGGAAGCTGAAAATTATTTGAGTTGAAAACGAGCCTCCCTGAATGAACTTGTAGCGTTTATAAAAAAACTACTGTACTTTTCATTTAATTTTTATTTCACCGAAGGTAACCTTAATTGATTTTAAAGCAAGTTTCCTGAGGAGTAGGCAATCCAATTTACACCTTTTACCTTGCTAAGATTTTCACTTGCCAATACACATATTTTAATAAGTTTCTGGTACAGATTGATAAGTTATTCTTTCCAATAGAACCGATTCAATCGGATTCCAGGAATGAGGTGTTGCCAAAATTATTTGGGTGAATTCCTCAGATTGGACTTGCGCTGTAGGTGATCCTTGATTATGAGAACGGCAAGGAGTTGTGCCATTTTGGAAAAGAGAGTGGTGAACGAGAATCTCGAGAAGGGATTTGTTTAGTAGTGAGCCGTGTGGTCCATTTTCAAGAATTTGAACGATACCATTTCGGATATAGTTTCATATATATATATAGATTTTGAGAGTTCCATAAAAGGTTGCACTTCCTGAGGATTCTACTGGGTCACAACCACTTTTCAACGAGCGACGCCATTTCCTTGAAGACGTTATTCGTGATTTTTTTTTGGTTAACGGAACCCTTCGTTTAAGAAGGTATGAAAATTCATTCCGATCCTGTCAATTGCATATGAGATTCACCTTTTAGTGAATCGAACTTTTGAATGAACTTCCATTATGGAAATTGTTTTTTCAGGGTTTTTCTGCAGAAGAGCTTCTACAGAACTTGTTTGGAATCATTAAAGAGGGAAGAACAAGGACTTCTATCTCTGATTGCCTTACGGAATAGATTTTCAGTTAATTTACCGAATGGTGGGTTTATTCATACGTCCAGTTCGATAAATGTTATTGTCCACGACCACAAGATAGTCTAAGTCCATTTTAAAAATTAGAAAAGTACGTGCTCCAAGTTTTTCCCTTTCCTGGTCGAAGAAAACTGCAGCTACAGCGCGACGAGAAACTAACAGGCAAATATTACTTACACTTGACTAATTTTTCCGAAAATAACTACTTTTTGCATTAGAACTACTGTTTCATTAACATACAATTATTGAATTTTGAGTTGATCCATTCATAATGTAAACCTGAACTGAGTATACACTGGTGAGGTAATTTTTAACACCATTCCTATTAATTATTTTTTTTCTATGACATGAATCTTATAAGTAATACTTTTCCTGATAATTTTACCTGTCATTTGTTGCTATGTTGCTTCGTTTCAAACACATGAATAATTTTGACGAATTATATGCTTAGTAGATTACCAGGTAATTGCAATTTCCAAGCTAGTTTCAATGCACCATTCAGAATATTATCATTTCATGGGACCTGATTATTAAATTATTAATTGGAAAAAATACATAAGATTTATTGGATTTTCGATTATATAAATTGAAAATTTCATTTTTCAATCATCAGTCTATATTTTGGCGAATTCATTGGTTCAATCCGATAAACTGTGATGTTGGTTGCCTACTAGCATGGTACTCGACGTAAACTACCGAGACTGCTGGAGTGTATCTTCTCCAATATAGATGGCATTCTGATATGGTTTTTATGTGAAAAGACTGGGGCTCAACCTAAAAAATAACAGGGAGCTTGAATTCCATTAATTTTTATAATGTATTCCTTGAGTGTTTCAAAATTCGACAAAAGATTTCTACAGAACTTCATTATTGAGTATACGAAAAAAAATCAATTTGTATATACAGGGCCGGATTTAGGAAAAGGCAGGCGGGGCCACTG